ACCTGAGCAAGCACATCGACGTTAAGTTCCACTTTCTCAGGGACTGTGTCGATGGAGGACAGATTGTCATCGAGTTCGTCGAAACTGGTCGACAACTCGCGGACGTCCTCACCAAGCCGTTCGGTCGTCTTCGACTCTCGGAGCTGAAGGAGATGATCGACATGGAGGGGGTTCAAGGGTTAGCAGTAGGATCAGGGAAAGAATTGTTAGATAATCTACTGCTCCCTTATGTGAACATACGGCAGGGGAAGGCGGTGCCGAAAAGGTACCCTGCCGTGGTACTGTAGCACTACAGGGGCAGGCGCCGAACGTCTCACCTGCTGCACTGTAGCCAATGCAGGAGCAGGCGCCAGAGTCAGCCCTGCTGTCTCATCTAGTCACTGTAGTAGCATGGCAGTTGTACTAGGACTAGATGGATAGAGTTGTATAAATAGTTTGACACGTACATTATGAGCCTCCTCTGCTTTGAGAGGATGCCACGAATTGAAGTACTTCCATGCATCAGCATCAGATGGATGTACCATCTTCTCAGGATTGTATCGTGTGCCGTTTTTGTGCCATGTCATCTATTTCGCGGATTCCTCGGTCATGAATAGCTGTTGGAGCCTCGGCAGGAACGGAAGGTGTCGTAGGACTCTCATGGGGATCTTAAGCTGCCTCTTCTGGCCATCACCTGAGTCTACCTCCACGTACCTGGAGGATTTACACTTCGGGCAATACTTTGCATCCACGTGTTCTTTCCTAAATAGGACGCACCCCTTCGGACACACATGTATCTTGTCATACGGCATCTTAAGTGCAAGAAGGAGCTTCTTTGACTCGTACAAGTTCTTTGGCATAATGTGTGTCTTCGGTAGCATATCGCTCCACACGGCCACCATCTTGTCGAAGCCTTCTCGACTTAGGTTTAACTCAGCCTTCAACCCCATTACGCGACCAATGGCATCCAGCTGAGAAACATTAGTATGATCGTGAAGGGGTCTCTGTGCCGAGTCCAACATCAGGTAGAAGGCATCTGCGGCAGCCTCCATCTCCTCCTTGTCACGTCCTTCAGCGAACTGAGCTTGGTGCGTGTCATCCAGCATGTCTGCTACCCCGGCATCATCATCGAAAGCCTCGAGCCGTGGTCTCACCACCTCCTCCCTGATACGATCGGCTTCACCTTGGTGGATCCACCGGTGGTAGCCCGGAGTAAATCCAAACTTCATAATATGTTTACCCATGGTTAACCTATCTTTCCTCCTTCTGTTGTCACAACCGCTGCACGGACAAACCACTAGAGAATGGCCTCCAGCACTCTCGCCAAATGCATGCTGTAAGAATTCTTCAACCTTGACTATAAACAGCAAGTCGTAATCGTGCTCGTCTCTCCGGAGCGTGTACATCCACTCACGGTCCTCCATCCTTTAACAGACGTATCAGCACATATGAGTCACCATCAATTGCATCTACGCGGTGTCCCTACTCTCTAATAGGTGAGGATAGGTCCTAATCCCACCCGCGGATCCATAGATGAGGTTAGTTTCCATGCTCCGCTCCTATCCGAGACAGAATTTCGGCAGCACCTCCCTACTGTTCTCCCGATACACGTCCTGCAAGGGAGAGTGTGTATCCGGAGAACAACAGAGGGGTGATGCCGAAACACCGTCTCGGACCGGAGCGGACCATGGAAACTAACCCATCTACGCATCCGCGGGCTGTCCAAAAAACGTGGACAATTCGAAACAGAAACGCTCGCATATATGCAAAGATCTACATACCTCCAAAGATATCTCTTTCGGACGGGAGACGCCTAACTAGGCTACACCGATCTACGACGACAAACAAGCGGAAAAAGAGATGATTTATAACTAGGGTGTCGGTGAAGTCAGGCTAGCAAGGCAGTGGCGAGTCGACGCAGTGGTGAGGCGACGTAGTGCAGACAGACCCGCGACGCCGACGAAGACGATCGGGGACCTCCGGGTCACCTCCGACAGGTCCTGCTTTGCAAAAGAAGAAACACGACACTATAAGTTCAAAATTTCGGCAGCACCTCCCCTGCATGGGGAGGTTTCCAAAACCTGCAAAAAAAATGGCACGAAGGCCGACATCACAACGGCACGAAGGCCGACAAGCGAAGAAAGGGTGGATATACCTTGCCCACGCTCGTAGGCAGTTCGGTGACGGTAGGGGCATCGGCGAGACGGGCACGCGGAGAAGATGGCCGAGGCACCTCCTCCTCCCCTCCACCTCGTCTTCCTCCCCCTCTCCCCTTCTCCTCCTCCTTCCTCTCCTCCTCCTCCTTCTTCCTTTTTCTTCTCTTTTTTCCTTCTCCTTCTTCTTCCTTTTCCTTCTCTTTCTTTCTCCTCTTTTTTCTTCCTTCTTCTTCCTTCTCCTCCCTTCTTCTTCTTACTGTTGCTTCCTCCTCCTTCTTCCAAGCCGGCGGCAAGAGCAGGGGAGCACGGGGCGCTGGGTCTGGCGCTGCAAGGAGGACTGGCAGCTGGCTTGTGGCAAAGACGCTGTGACTCGGGCGGCATGAGCAAGACGGGCGGGTGGCGCGGGCGCCTAGGAGCTGCAGTGTGGGCGGCCGGGGCGTGCTCGGGGCGGGTGGTGGTGGCGGGCGCTTCATGGCGAGGCGGGGCTCACGGCTGGGCATGCACTGGGAGCCACATGGCGGGGGCGTGTGCCTGGCTGGGGATCACATGTGGAGATGTCTGGGTTTTTGGCATCCGACGTCACAACTTGCTCGAAACCTTCACAATTTTTTACCACAGCCTCCATATGCGATAACACGACGCCTCAACAAGTTTCGTGATTTTCGGACTTCGTTTGCATTTTATATAATTTAAAATCACATTTCCGACAAGTACCTCGACATGTTACGTCAACGAGATGCTCGAGATTTCATGTGAGTTCCTGGATACGGCCTAAACATACCCTAAATATCATGAGTATCAATTTTGGATGACCAAAGTCCATTATTCCATGTACCTGCAGTTCAAATTTGAAATATCCCAAAAAATTTGACGAAACGAAATAAACTAATGAAATATATCAAAAAAAAGTCAAAATTGCCCCAAATTTTAAAATATAGTTTGAAATACTGTCACAAAGCCATAGAAAAAAATTTGGGCCCAAAATGGCACTCGGCAAAGTGGGCTTTGCCGAGTCTCCTTTCCAAAGCACTTGGCAAAGTTGATTTTCAAAAAAAAATTACCGAGTGCCTAAGCGGCACTCAAAGAAAATAAGTTTTAAAAAATTAAAATTTTTTTTTTTGCCGAGTGCCCAAGGCTTACACTCGGCAAAATATGTTTTTAAAAATTAAAAAAAAATTGCCGAGTGCCTTAGTCTGGCTCTCGGCAAAATAAGTTTTAAAAAAATAAAAAAATTTATGAGTGTCATGGGTGGCACTCGGCAAAATATGTTTTTAAAAAAAAAATCGAGTGATTTGAAATGGCACTTTCGGCAAAATAAGTTTTTAAAATAAAAAAAAAATTACCGAAAAGTGCCATCATTAGGCACTCTCGCAAAATCGACGGCAGGTGGCCGCCGTCATGGGCTGGCCACCTTTTGTTGAGTGTGCGGCCTCGCAAAGCCTAGCTTTGCGAGAGCCGAGGCTTCTATGGAGTGCCAAAGCCACCTTTGCCGAGTCGGCACTCGGCAAAATATTGCTTTGCCGAGTGTCCCGATAAAAAGCACTCGGCAAAGTACAGTTTTTCAGTAGTGAATTGGTGGTGATGGTGACATACTGACACCAGCGGCAGCAGCTGTTGAGGCGTGGATTTCTGCTTGAGTACACGGCTGACGACGGCTGCGCCGATTGCACCGAGAGCGAGGAGGCTAGTGCCGTACTAATGTCGCCGACATTTTGTTCGAGTGCCACTGCTAGAGGGTGTCCACTGGGCGACTTGCCGTGAGTTCAATACCTTACGGTTCTGTGTTTTTAAAAAATGCTACTCTTTTGTTTGTTTGTGTTACTTTCCATTCTTTTGCAAATTATTCATTCACATTTTGGGTCTAAATATATATTCTTTGTTTTTGCAACAATTTACCTTGTTAATCTCCAAGAGAATAAATTACTTGAAAACAAATACTGCACGCTTGTGCATCTTTTCTACAAGATTGGTACTAGCTCAGTAAAACAAGGCAAATCATAACAGTTGCATTGGTTGATGGTGGAGATCACCAGCAATGTTTTGGTAAAATTCATTTTTCAATCTCCAACTTGCACAATAGTCTAATTTTTAGGCAGAACGATTAAACTAGGTTCCGAACCCTTCAGTGTTGAAACTGGATAAATTTGGTCCTCTTAACTGGTTTTAAAGGTGATTTTCTTTCTCCTAAAAATAATAAATATAGTTTAATCTCTAAAATTCATAGCTAAGTTATCTTAAAACAGAAAAATATTAAACTAGCATGTTTAAAAAAAAATATTATCTAGTTGTTGTTGCTCTAATGGGAGGCTCGAGTTAGTTGGATATTATTTGTTCATATTCCTAGTGTTTACTGCTTGTGGTCAGTCTTGTTATTTATTTAAATATTATTTTGTGCTCTACTTTATATTAATTGCATGACTAGTTGATTACATGATGTTTGGGGCACCCCCTTGCTTGATCCCTGATCCGTCCCGTCCGGCCGCCCTCGTTATATTCCCTTCCTTGTTCACTGTCCGGGTCCGGAGGTGAGAGGTCCCTCACTCCCTAGCCGAACTCCAAAATCCAAGCCACTCTGCTGCTGACACCCCCTCCATCCCCAATCCGCTATGCAACCACTCCTCTTGCTACTCACTTCCTTCCTCCTCCCGCCGCCGGGGGCCAACGCGGCAGAGTCGTCAGGCTGCTGGCCCAAGACATGCGGGGACCTCAACATCACCTACCCGTTCTGGCTTGAGGAGCCCGGCAAGCCACCTTGCGGATCGCCGTCCTTCCAGCTCAAATGCAACAGTAACCGCGCGTTCTTGACCAAATCCGTGTACCAGGCGTATGAGGTGCTCACTATCTTCCCCAACAACTCCTCCTTCCATGTGGTGGACCACAACCTCCCCCTACCCAGCGGCTGCCCAGTATAACGATGAACATCTCGCTCTTCTCACCCGCATTATTCGTGTTCAAAAAACCAACAAAGAATTGCTCTTCCTTGGGGTGTGCACGGGTTACCACCGTGAATTGTCTGGGTTTCACAGACTGCCTTGCAACAACAGTGGTGCCTCTTCCTTCGTGCTGCTCGGCGACGGCCGAATTTCTCAAGCCACGGCATCCAGGGAGGGATTCCGCCGGGCTGACTCTTCACTGTCGTGCCGTTTCTCGGGTTTCCCGATGGAAATGGGGATGACTACATCACCAAAGATGAAGATTGGGCTTCTCGTGGAGTGGAAAGGGGTGCCGGATGATTGCCCAAGTGCATGGCAAGGGGCGGGGAATGCAGGTACTACGGTGTGAGACCCAGGCGAGGCCCAACACTGTAGTGACCGAACTTTAGTACATATCGAAAGTTGAAGGAGAGCTGAAACAAGTTAAAAGCCAGCACTTTGGAGGATGTTAACTCCGGATCGATCCTTTTGCGCGAAGCAAAGACGAAAGCGCAAGAGAGTTAATTAACAATGTGTGGTTCATTCAACATGTAGAGTGGGCCTTAGCCTTCTTCGTGGGTCGGGCGTTACAAATGGTAATCAGATCCAACTCTCACGGCTTTACGGTTGCGTATGATCCGAAGCACTGGACAGATTGTGCATGGCTGCTGTGAGGGCATGACACTTGGGTTGGAGAACTGGAAATACGAACGTGGCCAAAAGAGTCGGTCCTGGACTTTTATCCTACTAGGTAGCTTGGTTCAGCGTTCGACGAGGACGTCGGATTTGGAAATACGAACGTGGCCAAGAGAGACGGTCTGGACATTTATCCTACTATGTAGCTTGGTCACGTTCGACGAGGACGTCGAATTTCCTAAATGGGGGAGTATGTGAGACCCAGGGGAATGAGGCCCAACACTGTAGCGACCGAACTTTAGTACCACATCGGAAGTTGATGAAGAGCTGAACCAAGTTAAAAGCACCTGGACTGGGAGGCATTTAACTCCGGATCCATCCATTTGTGCGAAGTGAGGACGAAAGCGCAAGAGAGTTAATTAGCAGGTGTGATTCATTCAACGTATAGAGTGAGCCTTAGCCGTCTTTCCGAAGTCAAGGCGATACATACATTACAACGGCACAAAGTTCGCCTGTGATTGCTCCGGTGACAAGTGCGGTGAGTTAAGGAAATTTAAAACGCACATCAATTTTGCCTAGTTTTTTGGTTGGAAATAGCATTAGTCTGCTATCTGGAAGTAGAAGTAAAGTTGGCCCTACGCCAATTCTAAGAGATGGCAGAACACTCAAAAACACACATTTTTTTAAGAATAGGAGGCGAAAAATATATGGAGATCAAGCTAAAGTAACAACGTTTTGCTTTATACTCCGCACTCATTTTATTTGTGAATTCTTATTAGATCATGTATTGAAAACTAGGCAAGTGGCGTAGTACTAGTAACGGATTCAAATATCAATTCCATGGTATCTGTTTGGTTGGCAATTATGGTCCTACTAGTGACATATAGTCGCTATCAAGAATAATTGAACACGTCGCCTTTGTTACAGTTAATAAGAATAGATTTCGTCATTATTCCAGTCTTCAACCTATCCATTATTTCAGCCTATATACACTCATATAAACATAGCATACACCAATCAACTTTAGACAGTCGCATATAGTACAGGTCAGCACAAGGGAGTTGCATGTTTCAAATTTCATATGCAAAATATTGAATCGTTTAATATCATTCCTTCCTTTTACAAAAAACAATCATTATACTTCTACTTATTTAATTTCCATGCTATTTAGGTATCAACGGGAATGGCAGGAATGAGATAGCACTAATAGGTATGCTTCTTTTGACATTACTTCATACACCGTATCTAACAATCCAAATTTCAGTAGTTATATATAGTTATTTAATGCAATAAGTTAATGTTTAGTCTCAGATATTGGAACCAGCAAGACCTTCGAAGAACTACAATAAAACTTCTTACATATATATATTTTTTGCATATATACAAAAATGAAAATTTTAAACAAAAACTACATGATTTGGAGCAAAATATGTGATCATTATAATTTATTTTCATATTTACAATATAGACTGTTTATGGCCTCTAAATCTGAATGCTCATATTTAACACCTCATTGTTTTGTGAAAAGAAAATAACATCTGCTATAATTTCAGTTTAGATTTCAGTAGCTGCAAGCTTGCTCCTACCATGTATATATGTGTTGGTATGGCATATGCAAAAACTAAGGTTTTTCCTATGCAAAAACCACCAGCAACACCACAGAAGAGAACATTGAGGCCCTAATATTATTACATGGGTCACTAGCTCCAAAACGATACAAGTACTCCGAAGTAACAAAGATAACATCTTCCCTTAATAATAAGCTTGGGGAAGGTGGTTATGGCATGGTTTTCAAAGGAAGGCTAGATGATGGTCGTCTAGTTGCAGTGAAGTTCCTGCATGACTCCAAAGGTGACGGTGAGGAGTTTGTGAATGAGGTTATTAGTATTGGCAGGACATCTCACATTAATATTGTTAGCTTATTTGGGTTTTGTTTGGAAGGCTCAAAGAGGGCCCTCATATATGAGTATATGCCAAATGGTTCTTTGGATAAGTATATATACTCCGAGAATCCCAAAGCAATTTTAGGATGGGATAAGCTCTATACCATAGCAATTGGGATCGCTCGAGGGTTGGAATACTTGCACCATAGTTGTAATACACGCATAGTGCATTTCGATATCAAGCCTCAAAATATCCTTCTGGATTAGAACTTTCACCCAAAGATTGCTGATTTTGGTTTGGCCAAGTTGTGCCATACCAAGGAGAGCAAGCTTTCTATGACCGGTGCTAGAGGAACACCTGGGTTTATAGCTCCTGAAGTGCATTCTCGAACCTTGGGAGTTGTTTCAGCAAAATCAGATGTTTATAGTTATGGAATGATGTTGCTAGAGATGGTTGGAGGCAGAAAAAATGTTAAATCGATAGCTCAAGAGTCAAGTGAAAAGTATTTTCCACATTGGATTTATGACCACTTTGGTCAAGACGATGGACTACAGGCATGTGAAGTTACACGTGAGAACAAAGGAATCGCTAGAAAAATGAGTGTGATTGGCACATGGTGCATCCAAATATTACCAAGGAATCGCCTACCATAGGAAAGGTCTTGGAAATGTTTGAGAGAGTTCAGATCAGCTAGACATGCCACCAAGGCAAAACTTCAGTCAAATATTGTAAGATATTATTTGAGACACATATATATTTCAACAATCATTCAGGATCATTTACATCAATGTTGATATAACTATATTTTTCATTCTTTTTTTGCAGCAACGATCCAGCTTACAGTTTGAATGCAGAAAGTTCGAGCATGATTAGTGGCAATGAAAACACAAGTTTCTAGTGAAGTGCTAAAGATGAAGGAGATAAGCGTCGTGAATTCAAAAAATCTTACAACAGTTACCAACTCTATGAAACGGTTACCTAGAAGTGGAATTTGGCATTAAACTTCTGACTATGACAGGTTTTTTCCGAAGGCAAGAGGTTGCCAAATTTATACTAATAGAAGGGGCAGCTGGTCTACTAATAGGATATTTGTTTTGAAACAAAAGGCTACTGGTCTACTATGATATCTTTCATTTGAAGTGATAAAGATTAAGGCTTTAAAAGTGGCTGTCTGGATACCAAGCAATGTTAGGCCTTTGTGAGCAAGCTTTTACATTGCTTCCATGGAGAGACCCAAATGGTTCTCTTTTTTTTCTTGAATACGTATTTAGTGTGTGCGTATGATTGTATTAGAAGAAAGCAAGTTTAAATTGCAGAGTGGCGACCCATCAAGGTCATGGCGAACATAGGGGCTACATTTCTACATAACAACACACGACTCAGGAGAGGATGCCATGGCTAATGCCTAACGAGGCTTCCAAGGCCTTTTTGCTCCGGCCCGAATCCATCGGTCCCTTCATCCTTGATGAGCTGCATAAGCTCGTCGCCCGAGGCCATGAGACCCGCGAAAACATCTTGCATTGCGCTCTTTCACACATGCCAAGACCACGGTGACGAGAGAGTCCATGCTAGATCGCTGCGGATCGTTGCGACCTGCTCGAAGATGCTTCCACCAGCTGAAAGTTGTTGAGGCGAGCTGTGGAAGCGTCTGCATGCAACACTTGTAGGATGCGGTGCCATACCTACGCATGAGTAGGAGCATGAAGCGATGATATGATCGATGGTCTCCCACCTCTTGATCACACAGGTAGCACATTTCCCTTGCCTCGAGCCCGTGTCGCAACCTTCTATCCCCAATCCGATTGCCCGCGCCACTAAGGGCCAGCCAAAGGAAAATTTTTACCTTAAGTGGCGCCCACGTCTTCCAAACTAGATGATGGCCTTTGAATTTGATTAATCCAGCGTGCAGCATCTTGTATATGCAGACTGAGCGGAATATGCTCCATCTTGAGTCCAGCGCCGGATAAGCTTATGCGCTAAAGCGTCGCGTCGGTTGCCTCCCATATGTGCAGGTATTCGATGATAGCGTCAGCGGACATTCCGCCGAGATACACCGGACCCTGCCTTTGCGTCAATGCTTGCGACAGTTAGGGTCGGCGATGCAGCGTGGGGATTAGTTAGTGAGGCATGGAGCCACTTCCTTCAGGGCGTTCCATTGAGCTAGCAGTCTTCCCGGAAGAGAGCCGTGTGGCCATCTCCGATCTCCATGAACGTGGGCGCCCTGAAGAACGCTGAACTTGAGGCGCGGTCTTGATTGGCAGCTGGCTCCAAGCCTGGTCCGCGTCAGTCTTTTGCAAACCATAGCCATCTGGTCTGGAGTGCATATCCAGTTAACTTGAGGTCGCTAACACCAAGCCCTCCTAAGCGTTGTTGGCTTGCAGACAATCGGCCAGGACACCATATATTTCCCTTTCACCGAAGCATCATTGCATGCCCAAAAGAATTTCCTGCAGATGGCATCAACCTCATTGCGTGCCCAGGTTAGCAAGTCTTCGGCCATCATCATGTGGATTGGCACTGCACGAAGCACTGATTTCACCCAAACCAGGCAACCACTCCTGGCCATGGGCGAGCCATGAGAGGGTGGCAGCTTCCGGCGACAGGATTCTACTACCTCCTAGAAATGTGCCTTTGGGATCGTTGGTACTCAGCGGCAGTCCAAGATATTTGAGAGGAAAGGGCTGAACCTGACAACCGAGAATACTGACTATAATGTCAATATTGTCTTCCACACCATATATCGGAGTGATTGAGCATTTTGACAGGTTGGTCTTCAGTCCTGATGCCTCTCCGAAGATGGTTAGGATTCTCTTGACCGCTCGGGCTTCCTGGACTGTTGTCCGAATGAAGAGGATCACGTCATCCGCGTACATGCTGCACTGATAACGGACTTCGGACGGCTCCAATTTCCGAAACACTCCGTCGTAAGGCGGTCTTGATGAACAGCCTGTACAACATCCATGGCAATGATGAAGAGCATCGGTGATAATGAATCCCTTGCTGCACTCCCCCCGCAAGTGTTTGATCGGTGGTCCTTGCCGTCCATTAAGTAGGATCCGTGAAGACGCTGTACAGAGCAGGGATTCGATCCATCTACGGCAGATATCGCTAAAACCCCATGCCTGGAGGACCTCCAATAGGAATGGCCAGAAGACAGTATCAAACACCTTCGAGATGTCCAGTTTCAAAGAAAAATTGGGATCTTTTTTTCCTGATCATAACCGCCGCCCTCTGTACATATTTGAAGTTGTCGTGTATGGTTATGTTCCTGATGAAAGTGTTTGGTTCTTTGCAATGATATGCTGGAGCCGAGGCGCAAGACGCAAAGCCATCAATTTGGACACAAGCTTGGCGAAGCTATGCACCATAGTTAT